CTCAGGCTCAGCAGGGACCGACTGTCCCGGCATTCCTATAGGCCTGCCGCGACATCTTCTTAGACTCAAGCCATGTTCGAATGCCGAAAGCAGTGCTCTTAGAACACCAGGCCCAAGTGTGCTAGAACAACACGGTCCGAGCCAGAAACCTTCTGAGACGGTTTCGCGCAAACCACAGAAATTCTTAGACCATCCTTTCGCGGCCTATGGGCAGGCTGGGACGCCCCGCCATTGGACGGTTTCCCCCGGGGCCGTAGGCGACACGAGGAGGAGGAGGGGGAGGAGGAGGAGAAGGAGCAGGAGGAGGAGGGGGAGGGAGGGAGGAGGAGGAGGAGGAGGAGGAGGAGGAGGAGGTGGAGGAGGAGGAGGAGGAGAGGAGGGGGAGGAGGTGTTGGAGGAGAAGGGGGAGGAGGGGGAGGAGGAGGAGGAGGAGAGAGGAGGAGGAGGAGGAGGGGAGGAGTGTCATGTGTGTCATGATCGCCACAGTCACAGTGGCAAAGGAGGAGGAGGAGGAGGAGGAGGAGGAGGAGGAGGAGGAGGAGGAGGAGGACGGACGGGTCGCCGAAGCCCTTCGGAGAAGCCCCCCACCCGCCACTGCTTGATGAGGCCGAGCCTGCCGTCCGAACGGAGCCCGCCAAGGGTGGGGCCGGGCTAGCGGCCGGCCGGCTCGCACCCTGGTGGGGAGCCCCCGCCCCCCGTCCTCCCGCTCTCTGCCCCTCCCCCTGCAAAGAGGAGGAGCACGAGGAGGGGGAGGAGGGCTGGGAGGAGGAGCGCAGGGGAGGAGCACGAGAGGGGAGAGAAGGATTGGGAGGAGGATAATGAGGAAGAGGGGAGGAGGAGAAGGAGGAGGAGGAGGGGGAGGAGGGGGAGGAGGAGGAGGAGGGGGAGGAGGATGATGATGAGGGCGGGAGGAGGGCGAGATGCTCTTCTCTGAATGTCTGGTTCGCCCATGTGGCCCCGAACAGTTACTCCACGGGGGACAACTTCCGACGGGCCGTAGTCGTGGGACGTGCGTCCGAAGCCCTGTAGCTTTCCCTGCTGTAGCCACTTGACCAGCTTTCACGCAGGATCCCTGGGGAGCAGGAGAAGCAAGATGCGGAGCGAGTGAACGAGTCGGTGGGCTCCAGGTGGTGCGTCAACAACTCCACTATAGACAGACGACGATTCCAATGACAGGTGGGTGATCACTTCCGTGGTTCCCCAATGCGGCGACCACATGTGAATCCGACCTCTGTAGGTCAGATTTCTGAAAATTCGGTTGGGTTGAAGCATCGAAAGGAGTCCACAGCCAAATGAACCCCAGCGGGGTGTACCATACCCCACCGCCGAGTGGACCCGCAGAGGTAGGATTCGAAATTAGTCGCAGACCAATCAGGGCTTGCACTGAATGGGGGGGAAGGGGTCCTCGCGGATGTTGTAAAGATTTGGCGAACGCCCGCCCTCGATTTCGGCAAATGGACGTGTTACTGGCTCCTGGGGTCTCTGTTCAAAAATTGCAGGAGTCTCGCGGAACGGATATTCTGAGAGCTGGGCGGACATCGGCCGCTGGGTTGACAGACAGGTTCCCGGGCTCCTGGTTTCCAAGTTTCAGGTTCCTGAGTTGCAGCCAGGCTCCTGGGGCCTCGAGATTACAGATCGAGTACAGAGTGCAGGGTAGAGCGAATAGTTCCGAGCATAGAGCATCGCGCAGGCAGCCGAAAAGTAGAGTGTAGGATATGGGGGTAGAAGTTGGATACATCGGTTCCAAATAGAAAAGGGGAAGTGGCAGAGTAGAGGGAATCGAGTTCAGGTAAACACATGTGTATACATATGTACGATAAACCCCCGCATAGCACATGCTCATTTCAGGTAACACATGCGTATACATATCTATCTATAACGGAACTCATCGACAACTGTTCATATGTCCGCTGACCCCCGCTTGCCAGGGGCGAGAAGGCATGTGAGCCATTTGGCTGTCCCCTTTTTTTATTACGAGGAAGGGGACGACCGCGACGCACCACATGTACTCTCCACACCGCCTGCCAGGCCCATCACAAACAACTTGGGCTCACATATCAAGGCAAATGCATGCGTCACGGATTCGGTGCACGAGCAGTAGCACGAGCAGTAGCACGAGAAGTGGCTGTCCCCCTGCCCCTTTCCTCCTCTCCTCGGGTCAAACATTTTGTTTAGGGGGGGACGAACTCGCCAGCTCGCCCGCATGGCCTCCGGAGCCTTCCAACAGCCCCAAGACGGCCCCTCCTCCCCCTCCTCCTCTCCTCTCCTCTCCCCTCCTCCTCCCCTCCTCCTCCTCCCCCTCCTCCCCTCCTCCTCCTCCTCCTCCCCCTCCTCCCAAAATAGCCCCACGACGGTCCAAGATGGCTCCGAGACGGCCAACGAGGCCTCCAAGACGACCCCCCCTCCAAGAGGGCCCCAGGAAGCAAGCATCTTGCCAGTCCCTCGAGAAAACGTAGACGTCCAGCGAATTCGCAGTTTTGGTCTCAGCGGCGTCCAGAACGGCTCACGAGACCCCCCGAGATCGCTCCGGTGGGGGCCCACGGCGCCCCCCAGAGGGCCCCAAGACGGCCGAAGGGGGCCCCAGGACAGCCCAAGGAGCGCCCAAGATGGCATCCGGGGGCACCGGCAGGCCCCCCAGGAGGGGCCCGAGAGAGGCATCTCTCGAGCTTACACTCCGAGTCCTCCGCCCTTCGGAGGACCCCCGAGACCGCCTGCAGGCGCCCAAGAGGCAGCCAGCAGGCCCGAAGAGGCCCCCCGAGGAGCCCCAAAGAGAGGCCGCTGGGAGTTCCCCGGGAGGCCCCCCCAACGGCCCCAGCCGTGGACGGCGGAACGGCGGCGGAACGGCGGGGGTCGGCGGCATGGCGTAAGCCTTTTGAACACGTGTACCCATCGGTCGAAAGAAGTAGGTAGAAACATGGAGTAGGAAGGCGATAGATTGGGTTTCCGCCCGCCTCCTGACGAGGAGGGAAGAGGGAAAACCACTCGACTCTTGAAGTAGGAAGGCGCTCAAAGTAGATTGGAATCTGGGAATCCAAAAATACATACTTTCAATGGCCGATGGGTACAAATAAGAGGGCGCATCGCCCAGGGAATGTGATAGTCAAGAGAGCTGAGAGCAGAGAGCAACTAGCAAGGGGCTCGCATTTCTTTGTTCGCCTCCGCGACCGGAATGCTGCCATGGATTTCTTTGAGCGAGCAATTTGGGTTTTCAGTGTTCTCTTCTCTTTTCTTGCCTCTCTTGCGCCGCGGGGCAGTCGAGCGGAGTCTGAACGGTCTGAAAAGTAAGAGGAGGATCATGATGCCGAGAAGCAACAGGTGTAGCAGTAGGAACAGCAGAACCAGGGGGAGGGGAAGGGGGAGGGAGAGCAGGAGGGAGAGCAGGAGCGGAAGCAGGAGGGGAGAGGGGAAGACAGTTCCCTCCATGGCTGCCCTCCCTCAAGGTCGAACACTGGACCTCTCCCAGAGCGCTCTCTGATCAGGATGCCAGTGCGAATCGGACTGTAGCCACGAGGATAACCGAACGCCAAGCATAACCGAAGGCAGCCAACGAACACATCGGAACGTCCCCGAGGCTTCCAACGACCTCCGGCGTCGTGCCTCTCTCCGCGGCAAGGGCCCCTGAAGCTCCCGACCCCGTCCCCAGGGCCAGGGCCCCATCCTTTACCAGCCTCGAACGTATCCCTATCCCTAAGATTGACACGCCAAAAGGCGATCACAATCTTAGGGATTCGCCCTCAAAAAATAAGGGGATCCCTAAGATTGGCATGGTGATGAGGAGATGCCCAGCATAGGGATAGGGATGTGTTCCAGGCTGGTAAATCCTGCTTCACCTTGCGGTGGGCCACTGGGACGCCTGGGGGTCTGGGGAGGTCATATCGGAGGAGTGGGGAGCACAGGACGGGTTCGATCCGATCGGCCACATCGAGCGGACAGTGCTGGCGCCTCCAGGGGCGCCTGCGCCTGCTGCCGGCGCGCTGGCGAGAGTCTCCCGAAGTGCGGCTCCCTTCAGCCACGATGGCCAGGAGAAGGGCGGAGGGAGGAAGGGAGGAGGGACGAGGGAGGAGGAGGGAGGAGGGAGGAGGAGGGAGGAGGGAGGAGGTAGGAGGGAGGAGGGAGGGAGGGAAGGGGGGGAGGGAGGGAGGGAGGGAGGGATAGGGAGGAAAGGGCGGAGGAGGAGGAGGAGGAGAAGGGGGAGGAGGGAGGAAAGAGGAGGAGGAAGAGAGAGGAGAAGGAGGAGGAGGAGGAGGAGGAGGAGGAGGTGGAGGAGGAGGAGGACAGAGGAGGAGAAGAGGAGTTTTTAAACGGAGGCGGAGGCGGAGGCGGAGGCGGAGGCGGAGGCGGAAGCGGAGGAAGGAGGAGGAGGAGGAGGAGGAGGAGGAGGAGGAGGAGGAGGAGGAGGAGGAGGAGGATGCGCTCGCATCAGCGCGGGCGTTCGGCCGCGCTGGCGCCCGAGCGCGCCCCGCGCGCTCGGGCACGGGTCAGGATGACCCGCTGCGACCTCGCCGAAGTGCACCGCGACGAAGTCAGGGGCGCACGCGGGGATGTGGGGCCGCCTCCCCCCGCGCGCGCCTCAGGGCAGCGGCCCGTCCAGGCCGCCGCCGCCGCGCTCCGCGCCGTCGTCCACGACGCCGTGGTCGTCGAGCTGCACGAACTTGACGGCCACACGGCCTGCGGCGCCTGGCGCGAAGCCCTTGGCGAGCCGAGCAATCGCCAGCTTGCCCTTTGCTCCGGGCTCCCCGCAGGCACGGGCGAAGGACGAGCTCCTCGCCGCACCTGTGGCTCCGCAGACGAGGCAGGCCAGCAGCGGCATCTCACGTTGCAGCTGGGCCTCGACCTGCGGCTCGATCCGCACAATCACGTGCGCCAGCGTGCCCTGGGCCCTCAGCTTCCTATTGTGGTCCAGGGCGGACGTCACAATCGAGCCTGGGCACTCGCTGGCGCGCTCCAGCCAGCGGCACCTGCTGCGCCATCTCGCCCCAGGCGGCCCACGGAGGTCGCAG